GCGCTGTATTTTGCTTTACCCAGAAAGGAGTTGAAGGCAGGATAAACAGGAGAAATCGAGGGCACCTCTTCACTGACATTCTCTTTCATGTGTGAACCCCGCTCCGTACCTTAGTTCCGGGGGCCCTGTGTAGACTCAGTACCGGTTCCTGGAGGTTAATGGACTTAAATGAGGTCCCTGATGGGGGTTCCTAGCCTGGAAGGGGAGAGAAGAGGGGCAGGGGAGGGGGAGAGAGAACCCCTATAGCGGAGGTTCTCTTTTCAAAAGTGTCAGTGGGTTGCAACTCAGGCCTCGAGGTTCCCTCTGACTGCTGGCAGTTGCAGGCACACAGTTACCCCAAGTTTATTGGGATGGAGGGTGGTACTTGCCCTTCCCTCGTGCCCCCGCTGCCAGGACCCAGCCTCACCCTGGCCAGCTGCGCAGACCCCAGCGAGAGCAGCTCTAGTGTGCGGGTCGGAAGTCCAAGCCAACACCCCATCTCCTCCAAGACTCGGGCCCTTTGCCCCGTCTCACCGGGCACTGGTCTCCGGGGCATGTGGTTGTCCAGGGCCTGCTTCCTGGTCACGGCGAGCTCGTCCTCATGCCCCACCCCCACCCCCCAAGGCCACCAGGATCCATCTTTAAAGCTGCATGTGTCTACAAAGCTCTCCGCACTGCCATCTCCTGCCCTCGTGGGTTGTGTGTTCCTGTGATCAGCGATATCGCCCAGCCGCTGAACACAAAGATGAGGATGCAGAGACTAAAGGGGTGTTGGGCAGGGCTGGGGCAGGGGCTGTCCTTCTGGTCAGCAGCATGTGCTGGGAGACGCCTGTCTCTGCAGGGCTCCATGGGACCAGCCGTTGGCAATGGACTTTCCGGTCTGTGGGACTTTCAAGCCTTGTGAGGGAGCCAGTCCTCGCCCCCGACTCCATCAGCGGCTTATCCTCCCCTGGCAGCTCCCTCTCATGCCAATTAGGAAGCCAATTATTTCCCAATAAAAGATCCGAGTTGCATGAGTTTCTCTTTTTTTGTTTTCCTGCCCCTTCTGTACATCACGTTCTGCCTCACAGTGGGGCTTTTCGGGCCATTTCAGCAACCATCAGAACATCCCCTAGAGCTGGATTGGAGGGACAGTGGGGTGTGTGAGAGATGGGTGAGGCATGTATAGTGTGGGGGGTGGAGGGGTTCGAGGAGAGGTGAGTCTGGGGTCCCATCTGTCTAAGGCCCAGAGAGACCGAAGCCACTTGGTCGGAGAACATATTCTGACTGTCAGAGCCTCCCGTGGCTCAGAGAGGCCAGAGCTGACAGACCCCGCAGACCCACTTTCTAGGCTCTTGGGAGGAGCAAGGAAGTGAGGAAGAGAGATTAGAGATGGCCCCGAAGTGTTAGCTCATCCCTGCCGAATCCCCGGCTGCCTCATTTGGCCTGAGGAATAGCCCCTTCCCCTTCTATCATCCATCCATTCCATCTCCCAAACTCCTTACGGAGTGACTTTCCTCTAATTAATACTAACCATTAAACCTCAGCACTGACGGAGCAATTGCCTAATTCTGAGGGAAAAAAAAATGTGAATTTATTACCGATGCCCGTGATCAAATGAATCCTGGAGAGGAGAGGAAAACCCTGGCGAAGATAAATAGAAAGCCAAGTGGGATATCGACTTGATCCTTCTCCAGTGCAGGGTAATTTGGCTTCAAAAGTGAGTTAGATCATAATAAATTAAATTTAGATTTCTGCACATCAGTTAAATAACTCCCAAGACAGAATTCCGGGGAGAGGGAGAGGTGATCATACATAGTGGAGATATTAAAATGAAGATCTTATCTAATAATCCATAATTGATGTGCTGTCCCCCAGCTCTCGCCTTTCTCGGGAAGAAGGGCTGGCCCATCCCTCCTGTTTGTTCTGCATTGGGGTCCCAAAGGGACTAGTCCACTCCCCTGCACACTTCCACCTCACTCTCTGGGTTGGTCCTTGGGAAAATAAGGTCACCCCCCAGCCTGCCCTGAGTAGGAATTAGACAGCAGAAGCTGCTTCTGTAAGCTTGCACACTGCTGGGGTTAAGTGAGGGGGGGAAGGAGAAAGGGGAGGGGGGGAGAGGAGGTTGAGCGGGAGGAGGAGATCCGGACATGTGGAGGGAACTTGAGCATTGTGATCCAGTCCTGAATTGGAGACTCCAATCGGGAACTTCCAGCCAGCTCCTTTTGCTTTCCCAAGCCTCAGCCTTCTCTTCTGCATAATGGGAGCCACATCACTGGTGTGCTTGCTTCCTAGGGGCGTCCTCCGGAGACTCATGCCAGGACGTGCTCTGCAGGATATAGACATTTCTGATTGGCCTGCTTGGCACTGAGTTTTGATCATTACCATGATACTGCTAGATTCTTTTTCAAAGGACTTTTGCTCTTTGCTAATTTATTCTATGGCTTAATTATTTTATCTATGTGCATACTTTGCCTCTACAATTTTCCTCCCTCCCTCCCTCCCTCCCTTCTTCCTCCATCCCTCCCTCCCTCCCTTCCTCCCTTTCTACCTTCCTTCCTCCCTTCCTCACTTCCTTCTTTCCTCCCTCCCTCCCTCCCTTCCTCACTTCCTTCTTTCCTCTCTCCCTCCTTCCCTCCCTCCCTCCCTTCCTTCCTTCCTTCTTTCTTCCTTCTCTCCCTCCTTTATTTATTCATTTATTTATTTTTTGTAGGAGTACTGCTGTTTATTCAGCCACTGATTAGGCTGATTGAATTGGGCATGAACTCCACCTTTTTTTTTCATTTTTTGTAATTTTATTTATTGACCGTAAGAGCAGTAACAAAGCTTTTGGGTTTAAGTCTCGGTCATACAATGAAATACCCATACCTTCGTCAGTGCCCATTCTCCACCCCCAAAAACCCCAGTATACCCCCATCCCACACCCTCCCCCTACCTGTGGGGAGATGATTTCCACATTACTCTCTCTCTACTTTGATTACATTCAATAGTTTGACCCCAGACCCACCATTATTATTTGGGATTTTACCCCAACACTCAGATCTGCTGAAAAGGCAACCGTAGACTATTTGTTTTCTCTTGCTGCTTATGAATAACATATGATGTTGCGTGACTGAAGTAGTGGCCGCACGATTTTGGAATTCCGAAATTTTAGCAATTAAATATGGAGGGATTTCTGCCAAAACCTGCTGGGTTCCGAGATTTGTTCCTGAGTCTCTGGGATCATGGCCGTTAAGCAGCTTGATCAGGAGCCAGAGAGGCCATTTGTGGGCAACAACTTGGGGTCTTGTTGGGACGGGAAGGAAAGGGCCGGCTCCACCCCCATCCCATGAGGCTCCACATGTCTGGTCACTGAGGACCCAAACCTGACTGTCCAATGGCCTCTGGAGGATGGTGTCCACCGAATCGCCTAGGGGGAGCACGTGGAGGGACAGCACCCTTTCCCCCCTGGGGTGACCCGGCGACAGTAACCTATTGTGGGGTCCAGATGCATTTCTGCCAAAAGCCACTGGGTTCTGAGATTTGTTTCTGAGTCTCTGGGATCATGGCCATTAAGCGGCTTGATCAGGAGTCAGAGAGGCCGTTCATTGCAATGACTTGGGGTCTCATTGGGGTGGGGAGGAAAGGGCCGTCTCTACCCCATCCAGTGGCCTCTGAAGGATGGCGACCACTGGGCCACCAGGGGGAACAGGCCAAGGCACAAAACCTATTCTCACCTGGGGAGGCCCAGCACCGGTAACCTGCTGCAGGGACCAGATGCATTTCTGCCAAAGCCTCTGGGTTCCAAGATTTGCTCCTGAGTCTCTGGGATCATGGCCATTAAGCAGCTTGATCAGGAGCCAGAGAGGCCGTTTGTGGGTGGCAACTTGGAGTCTTGTTGGGGCGAGGAGGAAAGGGCCAGCTCTACCCCCAGCCTGTGAGGTCCCGCGTGTCTCATCACTGTGGACCCAAACCTGACTGCCCAATGACCATTTACTTTCTTGTTAAACTTTGCCCCATGTTTTTGGGGTCTGGCTAAAGGCACAGCAGCAATTGGGGGGTATCTGGAAGTCTGAAGGTGCCATCAGGCTGCTGATGCACTTGCTTCACAGGTCCAGAATGACCTGCTAGTGGCACCATACCCCTGACCCTCCCTCCTTTAGTGCCCACATCTTACTTCTGGCTCTGCCCTCAGGGCCACTCCTGGTGGAGCTCAGGGAACCATATGCAGTGCCAAGAATCACCTTACTCACTGCACTGACTCTGTGATTTCTTTCTTGGACGTCCTGGAAGGATTTAAACACAGTGCCTTCTTTCCACCAACTCCTAGCTTTGTTTCCTTGTGTGTCTGGTGATGCTTTATCCTTTGGTGACTTCTGTGGGAGTACTTGGGAAAATCAAGGGATACCACTGTCTGGGATATTGTCTCCTTTTTCTTGACCTTTATTTCAGAAGATTTAGCATCAGGGTCTCCATCTTTGTGGAGGCCATGTTTCATTTCCCATCAACGTTTACCTATAGGCATCCCAAGAGCTTATCACTCAGCTACCCTGCCCTGGTTCTCATGGGTTCCTCTCTGGCTTTATCCCCTTCCCATGGAAGAGTTTCCTTCCAGAAAGCCAGTTGCATGCTAAAAATCACATTGGTTGTGACTGTGCAAGATCTGACTGTTGTTTATCACAGTGGTGCCTCAGCCAGGGCAGGGAGAGCAGAAAGCACCAGCAAGTGGGGTTATGGGCACCAGTTCCCCACCCCAGGGGCTGCTGCAAGGGGGGATGGACTAGGAGAAGGTGTGGGTGTGGGCTGCTGACTCTCATTGCTGTCGTCCTAATTTCCATTTTCTTTTTATTTGCACCGTCACTAGCTGTGTGCAAGGGGCCCGTCCTGCTGGGGCTCAGGGCATGTGCTGGGGACTGAAGCAGGGCCCGCCACCTGTGAGGCAGATGCCCTAACCCCTGTGCTCTGTCTCCAGCCCCTGCGGGTTTCCTTGCTGCCCACTCTGCTCTTGGGGCTGGGCTCCTGGCTGCCCTTCTCACAGACCTCCCGTTGTTGGTGTTGTGCAGAGTCTGGACGCTGACTGGGATGATCCGTGGGACAAGTTCGATGAGCGGAAGTACCTGAGTGCCAAGAAGTGGCGCGTCGGTGATGACCCCTACAAGCTCTATGCGTTCAACCAGCGGGAGAGCGAGCGCATTTCCAGCAACCGGGCCGTCCCGGACACCCGTGACAAGAGGTACCACTCCTCCCCCTACTCTGAACCCCTATAGCCCTGCCAGGTCATACCAGATCGATCCCCGGTCTCCGTGGGGGTTGACCCATGCCTTGTGCTGACTCTTGGTTCCTAACTGGGCATGAGATCCATGTCATATCCATCTGCATTGTTGGCTCAGCTAACCACCTAGGCCACCCCTGCACCCCTTAGAGAAAGTGGGGGGCTCCTTTGTCTGCACCTTGCTCCCCTGACTTGCCTGGGGCAATGCTTGCTTAGAGATCCTGGAGACCATAAACCCCAGCCTGATCCGGCTGTTCAGCTGGGCTGACCCCATCCCAGTCAGCTGGACAAAGAGAAGCTGGAGGGGCCTCTTCCTTTTCCCTTGAACTTGCTGCTATCTTCTGGGCACCATCCACATGGCCCAAACCCCTTGCATTGGGTGACGGAGGTCAGGCCTGGCTAGAAGGGTAGCTTTGACTTCCTGGACACAGATGCTTTGCCGGGGCACTGTGCCTCTTCCCCAGCCCTTCCAGCACTTCCACCCCAATGAGCAGCTTCTCAGGGAAGCTAGAACAAGCAGGCCACCTAAACCCCTTGACCTCCCCATCCTGCCTCATGGCCGGGGGTTCCAGCCTTAAAGGCCTGGGAAGGCAAGTTCCCATCAGCAGCAGGAAGCTGGCATGGCACTGGGCCCAGGAGGCTGGAACTGGAGGGGGAATTTTCTGGAAAGTGAAAGTGGTAAGAACTGAGAGACTTTGGTGCTTCTTCACTGGCCTCTGTGGGCACCAAGTTGTGGGCATGGGATTTCAGAGAGAGGTGGGAAGTATTTTCAGAAGAGGCAAGGCTGCTGGTGCTCGGGTTGGCAATACGTAAGACTGTTGGACTCAGTTTCCCCAGTAAGGCTGTGCAGATGAGAAACTTTGAGTTCTGCTGCCCGAGTGCTTGTTCATTCAGCACTGCCGTTCCTCTCAGGAGCCTGAGTCCTGGGATCAAGCCAGCCAACGGGCTGGCACCTGCTCTTGGCTTCTCATTCTGTCCACAGACCTGATTGCACTGAGGTACCCTCATCCATGGCATCGGGTCCATGAGCTAGAGCCCAGGGGACAGATGGTCCCTAGAACTCTCTCTAATGCTGGCCTGAAAGCCCAACCCAGCTTCCCTTATCTAGCGATACTTCTTGGCATTCTTCTCCTCCTTGGCACCCGATAGAACATCATTTAGCTGTTAGACTGTTGAGTTTCCTTAAACAGAGACGGCAGGGAGGACACTGGGCTGAGGAGGGAGACAGGCGTCTCACAGACCCCCAGTGTCTCAGCAGGCAGCTCCACCCTGGTCCTGAGTACAGACAGAGGGACAGAAGGACCCTCTCCAGAGGAAAGGAGTCAGTGCCTCTGGGGCACTAACTTGGAGTCTTGTTGGGGCGGGGAGGAAAGGACCCAACTAAGGCTATCATTCAAGACAGCCTTGTGGAAGAGAGGCAAGGGGACGTTCAGGAGTGACCAGGAGAGTTCGAGCAGGGCAGACGTCTGAATCCCCCGCTCTGATCCCAGCATAAATAGACACATTCACAGAGGACCCCCCATAGGTGGGGGTGGATAGAGAAGCCTGTCCCGCAAGATCCGAGTTCACTGCTGCCGGGGCCCCCACCTGACCTGTGTCCACCTGTGAATGCTGTAATCTGCAGGTGGCAAGAAGGGGAGAGCGAAGGAGGACTTAGGCACAGTCAAGACTCCTGGAAGATCTGAAGGCCCATGTCTCAGGCCGGCCCTGCAGGAGTGAGTGGGCCTGTGCCACTCAGACCATTTCCCGTGGACAGATCCTCGCCGTAAGGAGCAGGAAGGGGGTCAGGGGCTACATACATGGGCAATCAGGCAGCTGGACCAGGGAACTGAGCACCCACTATGTGCCCAGTCCCTGGTGAGCCTCAGGCGAGCCCCTGGAGAACCTCCTTTGTGTTCCCATTATGCCTTGCAGCTAAGGCTCTACTGGTGATGAGTTGGCCCCATGGTATCAGCCATCTCCCGGGAACCATGGAATAGGGCTGCCAGCAGGGTAGATTTGAGGTCCAGAGATATGCCAGAGCCTGCTATTTCCCTGCTGAGTGGTGACCTGTCCAACACCTGTCCACAGGTCCTCGCTCTTCTGGCTCTTGCCTCTAGAACAATCTGCTTCTTTGAGGCGGAAGTCACTGGTAAAGTCCCTCATCCTCCTGTCACTCCAGCTATATTCTGTCTGCGTCCTGAGTGGATGTCTTGTGAGGGCTGCCAAGCTATAAGTGTCCAGGCATGTCTTAGGCCCCGGCTCCAGCTGTGACCAGTTGGGGCTGGCTGTTGGGCTCCACCCTGAAGACCAGGCGTTCTTCAGAGTTGGTATGTCAGGCTGGCTCGTTCTCTGTGCATGAAAGGGGATTTGCAAGGGCACTGGCCTCTCCCCACCCAATGCTCATAGCACCACCCCCAAGTTAGGACACCCCCCCCCGCAAAGTCTCTAGGTACTGCCCCAAATCAGCAGACCAGCAGCCTTGACCCCACTGGAGAACTTGTTAGAAAGAGTCCATTCTCAGGGCTGAAGTAATAGCACAGCGGGGAAGGCATTTGCCTTGTACGCGGCCAACCGAGGTTCAATTCCCAGCATCCCATATGGTCCCCTCGGCACCGCCAGGAGTGATTCCTGAGTGCAGAGCCAGGAGTAACCCCTGAGCATTGCTGGGTGTGACGCAAAAAGCAAAAAAAAAAGTCCCTTCTCCAGCAGAATGCCACAGGGGCGGAGTCAGAGGCTGGGGCTGGAGCCTTGCTGGCTGCGTCTGACAGGGCACCCCCTCAAGTTCTGAAACCTCACGCATCACTGCAGGGACAGCCGCCTTCTCCTGGTTACGGTTTTCTGGCTCCTTCCTGCCCTGTCCTTCTCCCCGTCTTCCTCCAACCTCAGCATCTCATTTGTCATGACCTTTGCCATAAGTCAACTTCTGCCAGGCCAAGATTGAACCCACAGCCGCTGGCCAGCCCTGGACACTGCTCTCCTTGTCACAGGACCCACCTTCTTACTGCTCCGGGTCCTGCCCTCCTTTGTGTTCCCATAATGCCTTGCAACTAAGGCTCTTCTAGTGATGTCACCAGTCGGCCGCTCTGGGGAGTTCTCGGTCAGCCTCTGTTCCAGGACCTGAAGGGTGCTGGGAGTCTACCAAGGGTTACCAAAACACTCTGGGGAATGCACCCAGGGAGAGAGCTGCCTGCCCTCTCCCCTCTGCTTAGCCGAAGGGGGGAAGGAGCAGGAGCAGCCCCGCTACCTGTGATCCTTTAGGGGGCTTGAGCGGAGTGGCTGGGGCACGCTCAGCAGGTTGGAAGGCGTCGTTTCCCTGAAAGAATTCTCATTACCGAAAGGGAAAAGTGAAGAAACGGCACGGGGGAGGGGGGTCGGAGCTTATTAAATTTGCTTCCAATTTTCTTACTACTGTAATTGGATTCTGATTTATAGGATGCGTTTGGACAGCACCCGAAACAGCACTATTAGCTGAGCATTAGAACAAGTGCCGCAGAGAGGGCGGGCAGGCGGCCGGGGGGATGGGCTGGGGCCCCATTGCTGAGGAATCCAAACAGGCAGCAGGCCTGGTGGGGGAGGGGGAGGAGAAAGGCGCTGGACGCTGCTACTCAGCAGGCCACTGGGCTGGCTCAAAAAGCCCATGTAGATGCAAGTGTGGAATCTTGGCACAACCCTATGAGAGACAAGAGACAAAAGACAGGGCTATGTGTGTGTGTGTGTGTGTGTGTGTGTGTGTGTATCTGTGTGTCTATGTGTCTGTCTGTGTGTCTGGGTGTCTGTGTGTATGTCTGTGTGTGTGTCTGTGTGTGTGTCTGTCTCTGTATGTCTGTCTGTGTGTGTCTGTGTGTATGTTTGTCTGTCTTTGTGTGTGTGTATCTGTGTGTATGTCTGTGTGTCTGTCTTTCTCTGTGTGCGTCTGTCTGTGTATGTCTGTCTGTCTGTGTGTGTCTGTGTATGCTTGTCTGTCTTTTTTGTGTGTGTTTCTGTCTGTGTGTGTATGTCTGTCTGTGTGTGTCTGCATGTGTGTCTCTCTGTTTGTGTCTGTATGTGTGTATGTCTCTCTGTGTGTCTGTATGTGTGTCTCTCTGTGTGTGTCTGTGTGTCTGTGTATGTGTTTCTGTGTGTGTCTCTCTCTATGTGTGTGTGTGTGTTGAGAGGAAGCAGGGCTCATTTCTCATCTGGAATAATTAAGGGTCATCATTTCTCCAGCCTTTCACCCTGGGACTCTGGTGTTTTATGGGTGTTAACTGGGTTTCTCATGCATGGGATGACTGAGGCACAGAGAAGGTTAGGCCTTGTGTTAGGCCTTGGCCTCCCATTCCCAGGGATGGTGGTCTCTGGGCAGGAGTGATGCCCACACCCAAGCAAGCCCAGGTGGGCGTCTTCCAAATGGATCCTGATTCACCCTTTGGGGTGGGAAATCTTCCCCTGAGCCCCTCTTCTTGGGTTACATTGAACAAATGTAGAAGCAAATTGGATGCCTGGGGGGGGGGTCTCCTGTCCCCTGTGGAAGACCACCACGAGAAGTGTGGAAACAGGTGGCCCCTTGCTCAGCCTAGCGTCCTCACAGTGGTTCTGAGAGGAACCACACAGCTGCCACATATCAATTCCCTTTCCTTCTGCTGGGCCTCAAATCCCGGGTGTGTCCACAACTGTCCACTAGCCCCCCTCACCTCCTCCTTGGAGACAGAATGTGCAATGGGACATGGACACGAGACTCCCCAGTTCTGAGGCCCACAGTATCACTGAGGAGATCCTGCCTTCCCAGGGCATGAACAGAGTCTGGGGTCCCTCAGATGAACAAGAAATAGTTGCCTTAATTTTTGTGTGTCTTTTTCTTTTTGGGGGGGTGGGGGGCGTGGAGGGTGTCTCATAAAAAACCAGTGTAAGGAGGAGACAGTACCCACGAGGGTGGTCAGATATTTCCTTTTCCACTTTTTCTCTTTTATGTTTATATGTGGGGGAATCATAGCTGAATATTT